TCGTGATCCACCTGCCTCGGCCTTCCAAAGTGCTGGGATTACAGGCATGAGCCACCGTGCCTGGCCTTTCTTTTTTTTTTTTCTTTCTTTTTTATTTTTTATTTTTGAGACGGAGTCTTGCTCTGTCACCCAGGCTGTGGAGTGCCGTGGAGCGACCTTGGCTCACTGCAACCTCCGCCTCCCAGGTTCAGGTGATTCTCCTGCCTCAGCCTCCCGAGTAACTGGGACCACAGGAGGGGACACACCACTGCACCTGGCTAATTTTTGTAGTTTTAGTAGAGATGGGGTTTTGCCATGTTATCCAGTCTGGTCTCAAACTTCTGACTTCAGGCTATCCAACACCTTGGTCTCCCAAAGTACTAGGATTACACGTGTGAGCCACCACACCTGGTCACTTTCTTTCTTTTTATTTTTGTGTATTTGTTGTATGTTTTTAGATTTGAGGTTACTGTGAGGGTTGCAAATATCTTGTAAACAATTATTTTAAAGGGATGACAACTTATTTATGCAATAAACAAAAACCAAACTAACAAACAAGCAAAAAGAAAACTAATAAAAATTCTACACTTTAACTTGATCTCCCCGCGTACTATTTATTCATTTTTTTTGAGACAGAGTCTCACTCTGTCACCTAGGCTGGAGTGCAGTGGCACTATCTCGGCTCACTGCAACCTCCGCCCCCCAGGTTCAAGCAATTCTTCTGGCTCAGCCTCTCTAGTAGCTGGGATTACAGGTGCGTACTAATTTTTAGATTATCATGCCTGGTTAATTTTTGTATTTTTAGTAGAGACAGGGTTTCACCATGTTGGCCAGGTTGGTCTCGAACACCTGACCTCAGGTGATCCACCTGCCTCCCCCTGCCAAAGTACTGGGATTATAGGAATGAGTCACCATGCCTGGCCCATTGTTTCTATTTATAACTTATTGTACTGTCTATGAGTTGAAAAGTCATGGTAGTGATTTTCTTGATTGGTTCATCTTTTAGTCTTCTTCCTCAAGATGAGTAGTTTACACACAACAATTACAGTGTTATATATATTATTTTCGGTTTTTCTGTTTACTTACCAGTGAGTTTTGTACCTTCATAGGATTTCTATTGCTCATTGATGTCCTTTTCTTTCAGATTGAAGAACTTCCTTTAGCATTTTTTTTTTTTTTTTGAGATGGAGTCTTACTCTGTCACCCAGGCCGGAGCGCAATGGCACAATCTTGACTCACTGCAACCTCTGTTTCCCGGGTTCAAGTGATTCTTATGTCCCAGTCTCCTGAGTAGCCAGGATTACAGACGTATGTAAACATGCTCGACTAATTTCTGTATTTTTAGTAGAGATGGTGTTTCGCTGATCTTGAACTCCTAGCCTCAAGTGGTCCACTTGCCTCAGCGTCCTAAAATGCTAGAATTACAGGCATGAGCCACAACCCCGGCCCTTTTAGCATTTCTTGGAGGACAGGTCTAGAGTTGATGAAATCCCTCAGCATTTGTTTGTCAGGAAGGTTTTTCTCCTTCATGTTGGAAGGATATTTTTGCTAGATAAACTATTCTAGGTAAAAGTTTCTTTCTTCAGCACTTTAAATATGTCATGCCACTCTCTCCTGGCCTTTCCACTGAAAAGTCTGTTGCCAGATGGATTAGAGCTCCATTGTATGTCATTTGTTTCTTTTCTCTTGCTACTTTTAGGATCCTTTCTTTATGTTTGATCTTTGGGAATTTGATTATTAAATGCCTTGAGGTAGTCTTCTTTGGGTTAAATCTGATTGGTGTTCAATAACCTTCTTGTACTTTAAAATTGATACCTTTCTCTAGGTTTGGGAAGTTCTCTGTTATTATTTTATTGAATAAACTTTCTACCCAATCTCTCTCTACTTCCTCTTAAAGAGCAATAACTTGGATTCGCCGTTTTGAGGCTATTTTTCAGGTCTTGTAGGCATGCTTTGTTTTTTTTTTATTCTCTCTCTCTCTTTTTTTTTTTGGTCTTCTCTGACTGTGTATTTTCAAGTAGTCTGTCTTCAAGCTCACTCATTCTTTCTTCTGCTGGATCAAGCCTGGAATCGAGGGCCCTAAGGGCCCTGTTGGTGCTCTTCCTCACTGTGGCTGAGCTAGCACCTAAGCTCATGACCAAGTGCCCTTTCCTCTTCCCTCTCTCTTCCTCAAGCAGCAGGAGTCTCTCCTCATAGCCACCAGACTGTGAATGTGCTTCCGGTCACACCTGAAGCCAGCACGCCTCAGAGTCTTACTCAAGGTCCACTGCCTCTACTACTCGGTTACTGCTGCTGATTATTCAGGGCCCAAGGGCTCTTTATTTAGTAAGTGATTAATTCTTCCAGGACTGAGCTCTTCCCTCCAGGTCAGTGGGTTCCCTTCCAGCCCAGGGTGTGTCTAGAAACGTCATCCAGGAGATAGGGCCTGGAATGGAGGCCTCATGACTGTGACTAGTGTCCTATCTTACTGTGGCTGAGCTGGTATCCAAGTTGCAAGACAAAGTCCTCTTTAGTTTTCCTTCTCTTCTCCTATGCATCAGGAAGGGGTCTCTTTTGGAGCTGTGAGCTGTGCTGCCTGGGATTGCGGGAGGGGTGCTGCAAGCACTCCCTTAGCCACCCTGGGTGGTGTCTTACTAGGTCATGTGCCCTCCAATGTCCACTGGCTCTGAGCCCACCACAGCACCAGGACTTGCCTAGGAGTTGCAGTCCTTGTGCCCTAAACACCTTTCAAGTTTATTTAGGTCCCCATTGCACTTTAGCCCATGGTGGTGAGGCCTGCCAAAACTCAAGTTCCAACCTCTGGGATGGGTTGGAATCTATCCTTCTGGCTAGGACTGGTCTAAATGCTCCCCTCCGGGGCCACTGGCTCAGTTCTGCCCCATGTCAGTAGCTCTGAGTTCCAATTCAAAGTCCCGCAATCGCTGTGCTCTCCTGCTCACAAGCACACAGATTCTGTCTTCATGCCACACAGCCAGCCACTGTCAGGGGATGTTGGGGGGTAGGGGAGGTGATCGGCAGTTTAAGACTGTCTTTCCCACACTCTTCAGTGGCTCTTTCAGCTATATAAAGTTAAAACCAGGTACTGTCATTACTCTCCTGATTTTGGGTTCTTATGAAAGTATTTTTTTGGGTGGATCGTTGTTAAATTTGGTGTTCCTGCATGGAGTATGATCAGTGGGGGCTCCTATCTGGCCATCTTCCTTCACTTCTGTTTTTTATTTTTTGTAGAGACAGTATCTCACCATGTTGCCCAGGCTGGTCTCGAACTCCTGGGCTCAAGCCATCTACCTGCCTGGGCTTCCCAGACTGCTGGGATTACAGATGTGAGCCACCATGCCCTACCTCCACCTCTATTGAAAAAAAATTTTTTGCATCAACTTTGGACAAAAATTTTTAAAGATAAATATTTTAACATTTAAATTAAAAACATTTAAAAGCTCTGCTTGCAGAAGCACACAAATATTTTAATGTTCTTATTATTTCACTTCTGTGGAATAATATGATAGGAAAATTGAATAAAATAAATTTAGGCCAGGCGTGGTGGCTCACGCCTGTAATCCCAGCACTTTGGGAGGCTGAGGTGGGCAGATCACGAGGTCAGGAGGTCAAGACCAGCCTGGCCAATATGGTGAAATCCGTCTCTACTAATAATACAAAAATCAGGCGATCATGGTGGTGGGCGCCTGTAATTCCAGCTAGTCAGGAGACTGAGGCAGGAGAATTGCTTGAACACGGGAAGCAGAGGTCGCAGTGAGCCAAGATTGCACCACTGCAGTCCAGCCTGGGTGAAAGAGTGAAACTCCGTCTCAAAAAAAAGAAAAAAGGTGGGGAGCTCACTGCCGTTGGTAAGCCAGCAGCTCTATGAGCCTATGTCACATTGCCACAATTAAGGTGTGTCAAAAAGACTGTCTACTAGGCCATGAAGTCATGAAGGGCAGTGTTCAGTCCAATGTATGTCGATCCCATGCTCACGCAGATTACTTTCTGCTTATGAAAGTTGATTAATTTTTCCGGTTATGATCCTGAATATTGTTACATTTTCCTTGATAGTATAGTATCATCTGGTTGATGATTTTGCATCTTTTTTTTTTTTTTTTGAGATGGAGTCTCACTCTGTCGCCCAGGCTGGAGTGCAGTGGTGATCTCGGCTCACTGCAAGCTCCGCCTCCCGGGTTCACGCCATTCTCCTGCCTCAGCCTCCCGAGTAGCTGGGATTACAGGCGTCCACCACCTCGCCTGGCTAATTTTTTGAAGTTTTTAGTAGAGACAGGGTTTCACCGTGTTAGCCAGGATGGTCTCGATCTCCTGACCTCGTGACCTGCCCACCTTGGCCTCCCAAAGTGCTGGGATCACAGGCGTGAGCCACTGCGCCTGGCCGATTTTGCATCTTAACATTACACTCCCCTTCTCCCAGCAGCCAGTGCCTCCCCAGTCTTCCTCAGCCACACCGGGGCTCGCTGCAACCTCTGCTCAACTGGCCCAGGTGCAGCCATCTTTCAAGAAATCCAGATTTTAAAGCAACATTTCAGAGAGCAAAACTTTCACAGGGACTTTCAGGCATCATTTGACCAGGTCATTTGACCAGGTTGTTGTTCTTTTTCTCTTTCTGTCCCCCGGTCTGTGTGGTTCCTGGCCTGCTGTCAGGGCATGATTTAAGAGGGTTGTTTGCTTAGCTTGAGTGTAGGCCCCCACAGGCCAGTTCCCACTCCAGAAGGACTTGAGGGCAGTGTGAAGTGGGGGCAGGGGAGCTGCTGAACCATGGATGTCAGACCCGTCCACGCGCAGGCCAGGAGAGGGCACAAACCTGACAACACAGCGAAACTCCCCTTGTTTCTTCATGAGTCTTTAGACAGGAGCTTTCATTTTTGTATTTTTGCTTCCTCTCTCAATCTTTGGCTTTCACAGTGACCTCAGTGTCTCCTGACCACGGAATCACATGCCCCCATCTACTTTGGAGTTTGAGCTTTTCAAAACCCCAACTCTTTGGCAATAGCTGGTTTGTGAGCCCGGTGTCAGCAGTGGAGAACAGTCTTCCTGCCACTTTCCATTCATGTCTGCGTGACTCCAATCTAAAACAGATTTTTGGGGGAGCCCTTGATTGTAACCTCCAACAGAGAAAGTCATGCTAGGCAGATTCTCCGGAGACAGGCCCTGATATGCTAGTAAGAGCCTTTGCTGAGAACGTTAGGATTTACAAAACCTCTCCAAAGACAGACTTTCATTTGATCCCCACAGCAATCTCATGGTAGGTGTTTCAAGCCCATTTTACAGATGAGAAGATCTGCCACTGAGTGGGAGAATGGTGGGGTGGGAAGTGTGGTTAAAGAAGAGAACCAGTATTTATTATCTTTCTGGACCTAACATTGTGCTGGGTGCTTTATATACGTTTGATCCTTTAACACACTTGTGGAGACAGTAGTATTTTCATGCTATTTTCTTTTTTAGGCGAGATCACTGAGGCTCAAACAGGCACAGCAGTAATGGAAGCACAGGAACTGAAACACATCTCTGCTATCTCATGGTTTGTGCTTTTGCCCGTCACTACTTATACCAGTGATCTTTTGCTGAGAAGCAGTTTACTTCCAAACTTAGTGGTTTAAGACAACAACAGTCATTTAGGATCTCCTGTTTTCTGTGAATCAGGGATCTGGGAGTAATGGAGCTGGGCTGTTCTGACCTAGGGGTCTCTCGTGGAATCTGTGGAAGGGATCTGCTGGGGGCCGCTGTCATCTGAAGGCTCGATGAGGCTGCTGCTTCTGCTTCTGAGGTGGTTCACTTGCATGGCCGGCAAGTTGGTGCTGGCTCTTGGCAGGAGGCCTCAGTTTCTCTTCATCTGAGCTGCTTGAGCACTCTCTCCATGTGGTGCTGGCTTCTCCCGGAGTGAGTGACACAAAAGAGAGCAAGGCAAAAGCTGCAGTTCTTTTAGGACCTTGCCTCGGATGCCACACAGTCATTTCTGCAGTGTCCCAGTGGTTACACAGGCCAGCCCTGTGCAGTACAGGAGGGTCAGCAGATGTGGAGGTCGCTGGGCAGGACAAAGGTCCAGAGAGGAAGCACAGGGGTGTGACTCCCAGGAGCAGGGATTGCCGGAGCTGTCTTGAGCTCTAAGTACAACACTGCTCCTCTGGCCAGTGAACGTGGATGTCAGCATTGGCTGCTGAAAAACACTCAATACAGGAACAGCATTTTCTTTTTTTCTGTTTTTTTTTTTTTTTTCTGAGATGGAGTCTCGCTCTGTCACCCAGGCTGGAGTGCAGTGGCGCAATATTGGCTCACTGCAAGCTCCGCTTCCTGGGTTCACGGCCTTCTCCTGCTTCAGTCTCCCGAGTGGCTAGGACTACAGGCGCCTGCCACCATGCCTGGCTAATTTTTTGTACTTTTAGTAGAGACGGGGTTTCACCGTGTTAGCTAGGATGGTCTCGATATCCTACCTTGTGATCTGCCTGCCTCAGCCTCCCAAAGTGCTGGGTTTACAGGCGTGAGCCACTGCCCCTGGCCTCTGTTCTTCTTTTTTTTTGAGATGGAGTTTTGCTCTTGTTGCCCAAGCTAGAGCGCAGTGGTGCAATATTGGCTCACTGCAACCTCCTGCTCCCAGGTTGAAGCGTTTCTCCTACCTCAGCCTCCTGCGTAGCTGGGATTACAAGCATGCGCCACCATGCCTGGCTAATTTTGTATTTTTACTAGAGATGGGGTTTCTCCATGTTGCTCGGGCTGGTCTCAAACTCCTGATCTCAGGTAATCCGCCTGCCTCAGCCTCCTGAAGTGCTGGGATTACAAGCATGAGCCCCCACGCCCAGCCAGGAACAGCATTTTCATAGCATTAACTGGATTCCAGAATCTGACAGCATGAAGCTTTTTAGGTTTTCCTGATTTTGTAATCAAAATTGGACTCACGGATTTCTTCCCACCAATGATGTGAACATGCAAGGGATTAACATAAACAGATGGGATTTTGGTTTTGGAGTATTTAATGAATTACAAATTTTAAGCATTCAGTATATGTTAAAAAAAAAAAAAAAAAGATTTCCCACTCTGAGTCCAGGAGTTTGAGACCAACCAGGGCAGCATCGCAAGACCCCATCTCTAAAAAAAATTTTTTAAAAATTAGTCGGGCATGGTGGCGTGTGCCTGTAGACCCAGTTACTTGGGAGGGTGAAGTGGGAGGATCGCTTGAGCTGAGGAGGTCAAGGCTTCAGTGAGCTATGATGGTGCCAGTGCACTGAAGCTTGGGTGACAGAGTGAAACCGTGTCTCAAGAAAAAAAAAAAAAGATTTCCCAACGTAGCTTAAACTAGCATTATCACACTTAAAAAGTAACAATTCTTTATTATCACTTAATGTTCAATCCAGGTAGACCCCTAATGTCCTTTTCAGTTAGTTTATATAGAACCAAGCATTGCACCTGGTTGTTATGTCTCTTAAGTTTCTTTGACTCAAAAGTGGACCCTTTCATCATCACGCTGATCCTGGCACCAAGAGTTCTGCAGAATGCCCCCCACTTTCTGGGCTTGTCTAGTTGCTTCCTGTGGTGAAGCTTAGCCTGTTCCTTCACACCTACACTTCCTATAGTTGAAAGGTAGATTGACATTAACTCATTAGCTGGAATTAATCATAGGAGATGAATCAAGAGACACAGAGAATCTGGTTGTCCTTCCATTAGTGTTGTTTACAATAACTCCTGGATTAGAGGGAGACACCTTGATTTCCCCACTGGACAATATTTTCCTGCTTGTGTCCAGAAAGTAATATTTGAATGTTCCCTTAGCATTGTACGAATGTCCAGTTCCCTGTTTACAATTCACTTCGTAATTTCAACGTTAAAGAATAACCCTCAATGACTGGAAAATAATTATTTTCTAATTCTATGAATCTCTTTAAAAAAAATTTTTTTTTTTAATTTTTTGAGACAAAGTCTTACTCTATCACTCAGGCTGGAGCACAATGGCACAATCTCGGCTCACTGCAGTCTCAACCTCCCGGGCTCAAGCGATTCTCCTGCCTCAGCCTCCCGAGTAGCTGGGATCACAGGTGCCTGCCACCATGCCTGGCTAATTTTTTTTGTATTTTTGTAGAGATGGGATTTTGCCATGTTGGCCAGGCTGGTCTCAAACTCCTGACCTCAAGTGATCTGCCCGCCTCAGACTCCCAAAGTGCTGGGATTACAGGCGTGAGCCACTGCACCTGGCCTCATTTGATGTTTATTAGCTGGCGTATTTTTCCGTAAAGCAGAGCTTTTCCTCATCAACTGAAATATAGTTCCTCCTGGAAAAGTAGAATAAACTAGAATTCCTTCCCTTTAAATTATAATTTCCAAAGCAGGAGCCAGTTTTATAATCACCTCAAATAGGAACAAATGAGTTGCATTTTCTTATTGTCTTGGGTCTCCCTTCTTTGAGTATCATTATGGATATGTGGATTTTGTGATTCATTGTGCTTAAGCAACTATAATCAAAAGTATTTGATGCTCTGATTTTTTTGTTTGTTTGTTTCTTTGTTTGTTTTGAGATGAAGTCTTGCTCTGTCACCCAGGCTGGAGTGCAGTGGTGTGATCTTGGCTCACTGCAACCTCCACCTCCTGGGTTCACGTGATTCTCCTGTCTCAGCCTCCCGAGTAGTTGGGATTACAGGTGTGCACCACCACACCTGGCTAATTTTTGTATTTTTAGTAGAGATGGGGTTTCACCATGTTGGTCAGGCTGGTCTCGAACGCCTGACTTTGTGATCCACCTGCCTCAGCCTCCCAAAGTGCTGGGATTACAGGCGTGAGCCACTGCACCTGGCTTTTTTTTTTTTTTTTTTTTTTTTTGAGATAGAGTCTCGTTCTGTCACCTAGGCTGGAGTGCAATGGTGTGATCTTGGCTCACTGCAACCTCCACCTCCTGGGTTCAAGCCAGTCTCCTGCCTCAGCCTCCCAAGCAGCTGGGACCACAGGCATGCACCACCATGTCCAGTTAATTTTTGTATTTTTAGTAGAGACGGGATTTCACCATGTTGTTCAGGCTGGTTGAACTTCTGACCTCAAGCAATCTGCCTGCCTTGGCCTCCCAGAGTGCTGGCATTACAGGCGTGAGCTACCGCGCCCGGCTGCTCTGATATATTTTTATTATTTATTTTTTTGAGACAGGGTCTCACTGTCACCCAGGCTGGAATGCAGTGGCATAATCACAGCTCAACCTCCTGGGCTCAGGTGATCCGTCCGCGTCAGCTTCCTCAGTAGCTGGGACTACAGGTGCGCGCCGTCAGACCCTGCTAAGTTTTGTATTTTGTTTGTAGAGGTGGGGTCTTGCCGTGTTGCCCAGGCTGGTCTTGAACTCCTGGGCTCAAGTGATCTGCCTGCCTCAGCCTCCTGAAGTGTCTGACGTATTTTTAAACAACTATATGCAATCCATCTTTACTTCCACGTTTGCCCCAGGCAGCCACTGATATTCTGTCTGTTCCCATTAATTTTCTTTTTTTTTTTTTTTTTTGAGACGGAGTCTCTCTCTCTCACCCAGGCTGTAGTGCAGTGGCACGGTCTTGGCTCACTACAATCTGTGCCTCCCAGGTTCAAGTGATTCTCCTGCCTCAGCCTCCCGAGTAACTGGAACTAAAGGCATGTGCCAGCACGCCCAGCTAATTCATATATATATATTTTAAGTACAGACGTGGTTTTACCATGTTGACCAAGCTGGTCTGCAACGCCTGACCTCAGGAGATCTGCCTGCCTCGGCCTCCCAAAGTACTGGGATTACAGGCATGAGCCACCACACCTGGCCCCCATGAGTTTTCATTTCTAGGCATTTTGAATAAATGGAACCATACAGAACATTATCTTTCACGTCTGGCTTCTTTCATTCAACAGAATGATTTTGACAATCATCCATCTGTTATGTGTATCAGTGGTTTGTTCCTTTTAAAAATTAAAAAAAAAAACTAACAGCTTTCATGAGGCATAACTGACATACAGTAAACTGCATGTGTTTAACGTGTACACTTTGATAAGTTTTGTTTTGTTTTGTTTTGTTTTGGAGACAGGGTCTTGCTGTGTCGCCCATGCTGAAGGGCGATGGTGCGATCATGGCACACTGCAACTTTTAACTCTTGGACTCAGTGATCCTCCTATTTCACCCTCCTGAGTAGCTGGGACTAGAGGTACGCACCACCACACCTGGATAATTTTTGATTTTTTTTTGTAGAGGTGGGGTTTTGCTGTGTTGCCCAGGCTGGCCTCAAGTTGTCCTCCTGCCTTAGCCCCCCAGAGTGTTGGGATTAAAGGCATGAGCTACCATGCCCTGCCAATAACATTAAACCCTTTAATATACACTGTGAGCCATCACTAGAATCAAGACAATGAAACCACTCATCACCTCCCAAAATTTTCTGGTGGCCCTTTATCATCCTTCCCTCCTGCTCCTTCCACTGCTATCTCTAGGCAACCACTGATTTTGCTCTCACTTGGGATTTATTTGCATGTTCTAGAATTATATACAAATGAGATCACATAGTATGCATTATTTTTTCAGTGGGTCTGGGTTCTTATTTGGAGATTCCTCTATACAGGTGCCTGTATCAACACTTCATTCTTTTTCATTGCTGAGTAGTATTCCATCAAATAGACAGACCTCAATTTGTTTATCTACTTACCTGTTGACAGAAGTTTAAGTTTCCATTTCTTGGCCATTATGAGGAAAATCACAGTGGCCATTCTACTGCAAGTCTTGTGTTTTCATTTCTCTTGGGTAAATACCTAAAAGTGAAACCACTGGATCATATGCAGGTACATGCTTAACTTTTAAAGAAATGACCAAACTGTGTTGAAGTGGTTGTACCACTTTATACTGCCACCAGCAGCGATGAGAGTTCCAGTTGTTCCACTTCCTCAGTGACAATCAGTGGGGTCCGTCTTTTTAAGGTAACTGCTCTCATGGGGGTGCGGTGGGATCTCACTGTGGCTTTAATTCCCTGATGATTAATGACACTGAGCATCTTTCCCTGTGCTCAACGGCCGTTCATACATCTTTCATGAGATGTTTGTTCAAGCCTTTTTTGAAATATGGCCATTTGTCTTCTTCTACATGAGTGAAATGAGAAATATAAAGGATGTTATAAACATGACAGTTATTCAGTGGTCCCTGTCCAGTTTTGCTCCTGACTTCTGTAGCTTGCTGCAGCCATTGTGGCTAGGAATCTGTTGGTGGAGGTGGAGGGCAATTGTGAGGACCTGGAGCAAGTGCAGCAAAAAAAAGTCATATGGCAGAGGTGGAGAGGGTAGAGAAGAGGGAGAGGCAAGGTCAAGGTTATGGCTTTATAACCTCTGAAATGGGGCCCTTGCGGTGGGGGAGGTCACACTCTGAGTTTGGGTTCCCCCAGAAAGCTTTTGGCCCCAGTACCCAAATGACTCCAGGTTGAGTATCCCTCAAGCTAATGACTTATAAACTACCAGGAAATTTGGCTGCAAAGTGAAAACACCATAGATGAATCCCATCTATGTTAATGTCCACATAAAATAGGAGCAGGCAGGAGTGTGTGCTTCCTGGTCTTTGCTCTTCCTGTGCGCTGGATGAGAGGTCTTTTTCCAATAATGATGATTAAGATAATGATATTAATAATTCTTTGTCTTCATTGAGCATGTAATAATTTTAAAAGTCTTTTCTGCCTACCGGACTTCTTCCCTCCCAGCTGAGCAGGGCATTGGCCAGTGTTCCCACTTCACAGTTAAGCTGAGCCAGGTCCTGAGAGGCTGGGAGGAAGAGTCAGGCTCAGTTCACGGCCCTGACTCTCTCCTCAGTCCAGAGACCCACGTTGAGCCAGTCCCAGCGCTGTCTCCTGCATCTTATAGTTGTGACCTCCCACAGTTTCTCGGGTCTGAAATCAAAGTTCAGGGCTGTCTGCTTTTTTTTTCTACCCAAATCCTGTTGGGGACAGTTTGGACCCACCAATACCCTGTTAGTCCCTCTGACCCCTGCATTTTGTTTACTACATAAATATGCACTGTTCAGAAAACAAACAACAAAAAGGGAAGCAATTCTGTTCACTAAACTTTTTTGTGTGTTTGCTGGAGACAGGGTCTCTCTTTGTTGCCCAGGCTTGAAGGCAGTGGTGTGGTCATGGCTCATCGCAGCCTCTTCCTCCCAGGCTCAAGCCGTCCTCCCACCTAAGCCTCGGGAGTAGCTAGGACTACAGATGCCTGCCACCATGCCCGGCTAGTTTTTTTCATGTTTTGTAGAGATGAGTCTCGTTAGGTTGCCCAGGGTGGCTTGCTGGATATTTGAGCCAAGGAAACTTGAGCAGATCGCATAACCTCACAGGGACCACATGTCCTTGAATGATGGACAGCCACCATTTCTGTCCTATCTGTCTCCCTTATGTGGGTTTGACAGGCCTCTCCAGGCCTGGATCTGAGTCGAATGCAGGGCTCAAGTGATGCAGGCCACTGGGCCACTGGAAGTCACCACGGAGCGCTTCTCCACGGAGCTCCAGCGGCGGCGGGGTCCGGCGGCGCCCTCGGTTAATGCTGGCAGCGCCACCAAGCGGCCATCTGGGAAAGAGCGGCCACCTCACTCCGAGAAAGCGGGGAGGCGGAGAGAGTGGCGAGAGCCCCGCTTGGGTAGCGATCCGGTGGACTCCATCCCGGCGGGGAGGAGCCTTCCCACGAGGACAGAGGGCGACACACACGCCTGCTGGAGCATCCTGAGGCCCGCCTCCGTGGCTTCTGTTGTGACGTAGGCGTTCCCTGCTCGAGTGCGGTCTGTGGCTGGGGCTGTGTCTGGGGGACTGGGAAACTCTCCCATGAGGTCTGTCTCAGGACCTTCCTGTCTGCGTCCGGAGCGCATTCGCAGGCAGGTGGGGCCGCCGAGTTCCCAACCCGCAACTGCACCTGCACCTCTGCTGCCCCTACCCCTGCCCTTCCGCCCAGGCCATGCAGGCACCAGAGGTGGGATCCTGGCTCAGCTCGTCCACGTCTGTGCTTCTTGTCATCTGGGAAACGGGGTGCAGAGAGACATCCCCGGTTGAAAGCAAAACCTTCTTGCTTCAAGCCATGTCATGAAGGTAGGTCAGAGGCCAAAAGCCTTTGCCTGAAATTTACGGCCCCGCAGTCTGGCCTTAGTCTCCTCTTCCAATTTTATTTATTTACTTTTTAGAGACAGGTCTCGCTCTGTCACCCAGGCCGGAGTGCAGGGGTCGATTATAACTCACTGCAGCCTCGAACTCCTGAGCTCAAGTGATCCACCTCAGCCTCTGGCGAAGCTGGGACCACAAGCCAGCGCCACCTGCCCAGCCAAATTTTGAAAGTTTTTGGAGAAACAAAGGTCTCACTGTATTGTCCAGGCTGGTCTCAAATTCCTGCCTCAAGGGATCTTCTGCCTCAGCCTCCTGAAGTACTGGTGTTACAGTTATGAGCCACCAAGCCTGGCCTCCTCTTCTAGCCTCAACTCCAACTAATTTTTTTTTGTTGTTTGTTTGTTTGAGACAGAGTCTTGCTTTGTCACCCAGGCTGGAGTGCAGTGGCACAATCTCAGCTCACTGCAACCTCTGCCTCCTGAGTTCAAGCGATTCTTCTGCCTCAGTCTCCCAAGTAACTGGAACTACAGGCACACACTACCACCCCTGGCTAATTTTTGTATTTTTAGTAGAGATGGGGTTTCACCATATTGGCCAGGCTGGTCCGGAGCTCCTGACCTCGTGATCCACCCGCCTCCGCCTCCCAAAGTGCTGGGATTACAGGCGTGAGCCACCGCGCCCGGCCGACTCCAGCTACTTTTTACTCAGCCAGAGGGACTCACTGTTCTTCAAAATATCTCCATGGTTTCCCACTTCCACACGATCTGTGGTGCCATTTCCTTGGCCTGGAAGTCATCTCCCCCAGCTCACCCTGAGATCTACACAAATGCTCATATTGGATGTGTAGATGTGGCCTGTTATTATCTTAATGTTTTCCAATTATATGTGCTCTTCTATACAGAAAAAAGTGTAAAGAAAAAGTATCACCCATTTTCCTGAATTATTCCACTACCTGTATATAACTAATATAAGTGTGTGTGTGTGTGTGTATATATATATATAGAGAGAGAGAGAGAGACAGACAGACAGACAGACAGGGTCTGGCTATATTGCCCAGGCTGATCTTGAACTGCTGGCCTCAAGCAATCTGCCTTCCTTGGCCTCCCAAAGTGCTGGGATTACTCATGAACCACTGCACCATGCCCCATTGCTAATTTTTAATTAACATATTACTTAGACTTAAAAACATTTTTCTGTGCAAATACATATACGTATTTTACAAGAATAGGACCACATGTGCTAACCATCTTTTAGTGTGAAGAAGTTATGCCTCTACAGACGGTTACTGAGCTTCTCGAAAGCGGAAGCTCCTACTCATCCTTCAAAGAGCAGCCCATGTCACTCCACCCTGGAGGTCTCCGTGACTCACACAGGCAGTGTTTACTGTACTCTCACCTGGCTGTGGATGATACCTTGACCACCCTTTAATTTTGGTGCTTATTGTCTTACATTTGGCTGTTGATTTATGCATCTGAATTCTCCACTTGATTGGAACTCATGGCACCATCAGGCCCAGCTAATTTTTAATTATTTTTGTAGAGATGGGGTTTAGCTGTGCTGCCCAGGCTGGTCTTGAACTCCTGAGCTCAAGCAATCCACCTGCCTCAGCCTCCCAAACTGCTGAGATTACAAGCATGAGCTGCCCAGGCGCCGCTATCTTCTAAAAGAGCAGAATGCATCGTTTTCTCTCTAGGGTTTGCAGGTTTGAAAAGATGGGTTTTGCACCATGCACCTAACACTCTTCTTGCCAGAAGCTCTCTGCAGAACAAGGAAGTTTTAAGGAGACTAGGTGCCTTTAGGCTATCTTCTGGAATCTCAAACCTGGCAATCCATTATTTATTCAATAAATATTGATTGAGCACCTACTATGTGCCAGATACTAAGTTCAGAGAGTATAATAGTGAACAAAACAGAAATCCTTGCCTTCTACGGGGCTTACATTTTACTGGAGGCTTTCAGACAATAAACAAACTAAATACTTAAAATATATAGTATGTTAGACGGTGTTGAGTGTTTGCGGAAAAATAAAGTGGAAGGGACAGTCCTATCCTTAGACATGGGCAAGAGGGACCCTCGCCCCAAG